GGAAGGTGCAGAACCTGATGGTATGAAAATGTGAGCCCTTGATACGCAGTGATTCTCCCAATGCAGATTCAAGAACTACGGACTTAAAAATATCGGTGAACGTTCTATGCTCTCTTCTATGTTCAGATCTGCTGGTGTGCAGCTTTAGGTCCCACTACTATGTATCATTTACAAACTTGGTGTATCCGTCTAGATAAGGCATGTTGACTCAGTCTGCATATATTCTAAAATGTCATCTTTGGGACTCCCTAATTACAACTATTGCATGGCTTTCTGTATTTCTAGTTTAAACTACACTTTTGGTGAGAAAGCATTCCCTCCCTACTTAGTTGTGGTGTGGTCTGCAGCGTAAGGTATTCTTTTGCAGTTTTGCATAGGTTACACTAGAAAAATCACACAGGATAAATGTATGTAGGAAAAGCTGTAATTAGTTCTGATTTGTAGGAAGGGAATTTTGAACCACTTGTGTAAGAGCAATATGAAGTAGATAATGTTCGTTGTCCACATACGGTCTGTTTCCAGCCATTTAAGGATGGATGTCAGTGTTACCCGAGTAGTGGTAACAATGTGCTGGCTGCATCTCTGTTTAATGATTAAAATGGGTTAAAGTAATACGGTTGTATTAATTGGATTTAACAGTGATGTTACATCAGAAGTTTTGAGTAAAACATACTTTTGCAGCAGTTTGTCTCTTGAGAAGAAGACGTGGTGCAGTATTGAGCCTTTGATACCCACATAAATTTTCTAAGAGTTCAGTAGCAGGGTGGCGTGGGAGGAAATGTAACTGCTAGTACCATCGTAATCCAGTATTATCACACGATACTGTGTGTGGATTGGAAATACCACGTTTGTGATGCTAAGTAATAATTTTGTTGGCAGGAGCCATGGTAAGAAAATAACTAACCTACTTTTCGTAATTTATTTTGACTGTGTGGTTTGTAATACGAGTTTGGAAGTTGCATGCTTCTAAGGAGATAAAAATCTATTTTACTAATACTACCAGTTCTGCTACCAAACACATATGGCATTAAATTTTTTTATTGCGAAGCTCTTTTCCCCCGCCCCCATCCAGCTATTGCTTTCATGCTAGCTTTGTTTTAGTGTACCTGTTGTGGACTAAGACGCTATTTCTATATGACGAGCTGTTACGCCTTACCAAGTTGTTGCTCAGGAGATGGGAAATGGTTGAGTAGCAAGTAGAACGATACAGTTCAAATGGAAGAGTCAACAGTTTCAAAAACAAAGAAATGATCCCCAGCCCCCCTACGATGTAACTTCTGGCAAATATCCTTTATGGGCATTTGTTGGCTGAGTCAAGTTTTGCTATCCCAGTTATCAGCAGTGCTTCTTCACAGGGATGTATGCCTTGGGTTCCAGGGGAGGGGAGGGGAATGCCCCTGTGTTCTTTTAAATAAGTAACTTTCCAAGAACAATTCAGTTGAGGAAAACAAACAAAACCCCAAGCCAAACAAACCAACAAAACCAAACCCAAACACAGCCAAACAAAAAAAGTTAACACTGTTGCCATTGACATTAAGTACTTTTATTCCTTTTGCTTGCTTCTTTGATATTCCTGATTGATGGTATACAAGAGTCTACTAATAAAGACTGTATATGCAGTACCTTGAAAGATGTGTTCCATGTTTGTAACAGCTTCTTGTCTCTTGAGCACGGTATCCGGTATTTCTTTACTCCAAGTCGGTAACAATAACCAAGTGATTCAACGAAGTTTAACACCAGTAGAGGGAGCTTTGTCACAGCTGATACAAAAAAGGGTTTGAACTAAGTGCAAACCTGTTCTTACTAGTGCATGTAAACTTCTGGCTAGTGATTAAATTTTATGGGCAGTAGCCGTGTACCTTGGTATAGATTTGTTTCTTTCATTTGTCCTTACAAACCCTCTGCTTTAGTTTCATTCAGAAAATTATCCAATGGTACTTTGTGGCAGGGATGCCAGGATGGTAGATCGGTATTTTCCACGCTGTTTTCACAGAGAACCCTGGCTGTAGGGTCACTAAGTAAGTAACGTAACGGGTTGGTTTTCATGAGCAACTCCAGTGAATTCTGAAGGTGATAGTCAGATTACCTTTCAAAGAACTATATTCATTACCCAAATTTGATTCAAGTGTGTTGGTTCTAGCTCTATTTCTGCCAGCAGCAGGAGCCAGATTAACTTTTTCCTGCTGTGCTAGCAGAGAATTTGGTCTGCTGGGTGTTACTGAGCTATGAGGACATTGCGTCGTGTAAGCAGCGCGGAGGTGCACGGTGCACCTCGACAGGCGCAGTGTGCCAGAGCAGGGCACTCTGGCGTCTGCAAGGGGAGGGAAAGGTGCTGTGCTGTTGCCATGAACCCCGCTGAGGCGGCGAGGGGCATCGGGATGCGTGCAGGGTGACTTCATCCGGCCCCACAGAGCCGGCGCATGGGAAGTAGCTGGTTGTTAACTTCCCAGTGAACATTGTAATCATATTTGATACCGAAACAAAGTATTTAATGGCCTAGATAAAAGCATTCTGGTTGTTTAATTGGAAATGTCGTGCTGTTTTACATAGACCTAGTGCCCTATTTTTATGAGATTTAGAATTGTGCTGAGAAACTGTTTCCATGGAAGCAGAGATCACTAAAGAAGTAATGCACTCCACATTTCCTACAGGATTATTCCTTTTACAGCCTGCTGTTCTAAATAATTAACTCTTGTAGTGCTGTTACAGCTTAGCATGGATTGAAGGAAATAATACTTTTTATTTTTTTTAGTGTCATAGAGACATTACATATCTATTTTTTAATATATATAAATATATATATGTATATAGGTAATCGGAAAGACTTCTGTCTTTAAAATGTCTGTTCTTTCCTTATTTACAGAGGGGGGGAATCCATCAGGACAAAAAAGTCAATGGAAAAGTGCACTTTTATTTTGGCAATTTATGCAGCTCTGTCAGGGCAACTTAAAATTATTCCTTCTTTGCCCTTCTCTTGCCACTGTTCTACACTTTTTGCTTGGCGATGGGTATATTCTAAAACCATCATTGTGCTTCTGGCCACCTTTGAGGGAAGAGACAATGTAGTTTTTAATGTAACAGCGATGAGAATCTCCCACCAGTAGGGACAGCAGCTTCTCTCATTTAGTTACCTATGGTTTTTCCTCCATACGTTACTTTTGACAAACCAGTTAATTTTTCTCTACTTCAGTGTAAGTGTCTGTAAAAAGGGGAAACTGTCAAATGATGAGGCTGAGACCATGAATGTCTGTAAACATCATACAAGCAAACTCCTGTTTACCAGAAAGCCCTGTTACTGCCCGTCCATATAGCGCTTTCTAAGTGCAAGGGCAGTGCAGCTCAGCCGTATAGAAACTGCCGTCGCTTCACTGAAGCCGGCTGTGAGCTGTAAGCTTACAGCAGTTGATGCTCTGTCCTCCAGACAGGAGAAAAACAAAACCTACTCTCTCTGAAGTTCATAATGTCAAATAAAATAAAGACAAGATATGAGTATGTAGGTGACAGTTAAATGGATTTTGACTTTGAAGGAGGCATGTGAAATTTAAAAAAAAAAAAAAAAAAGCGTATTATTATAGGTAAACGAATGACTTGGAACTCTTTTCCCATTTTTAATTTCTTAAACTATTATCAAAGTATCGTCAATATGACAACTTGAAATACCTATCAATTTTTATAAGAATTTTAAGTGTAGATCTCAATTATTTTCCAAGAAAGGTAGCTACTGTTATTTTTATCTGAAGGAAGGGGAAACGGAGAGGTGTGATGACGTGCTATAAAGGATCCAGGAACAATTTGAAGAACTTGCCTCATCTTTGCTCCCTCAAGTAGTATGTGTTTCTGTGGCTTATTTAGAAGTAGCTCTAGCTGCAAAGTTCAACTCCAGATTGTGCCCTTCTCTAGTGGCAGAGGGTATTTACATCTGGGGCTCTAATTTTAAACCTATACTGTGTTATAAATACTCACTGGCAGCCAGGGTAACTTCCCACTCTTCACACAGATGCAAGTCATCACTACAAGTAGCCCAGCTTGCCTTGATTTGAAGCAGGGCAGGCCCTCAGGAAAACAGCAGCACAGGTAAAAGGAGCTGACCGCAAGGCAGTGTGCAAGTTGTGTGGATGGGAGAATGGCATATATGCTGTTCTGTGGTCGTTACTCGTCCCAAAATAATGATTTATAAAGTGTCTGACAATGTTTGACAAATCGGATGAATGGGACTTGCTTAATGCAAACTGGAAAATATCTTTCAGCTGCTGCCAAAACACATGGAAATGGTGACTCGTGCTTTGTAGATCATTAGGACACTTGGGAGTTACTGGAGCGTACTGCGAAAGGCATTACTCAAAGTTCACGTTGAAAAATTCCTTCAGAAACGGCTAACAACTTTGTAAGGGTGATGCAAGCATGAAAATCATCATTCCTAGTACTGCCTTGGGATGAATATGTGCCAAAGGAAAGCAGGGAGGGAAGCTTTCCTTGCTGGAAGATGAGACTGCTCCTGTGCTCTGTCAGTAGGAGAGCAGCCATCAAGCTGATGAACAGTTGTTCCTTCTGAATTGGCAGCTACTCCAGGCAGCAGACACAAAACTCCAAAAGGCTTTGTTTTATAAATACATGAAAGTAGAAAGGAGGAAGTCCGTAACTGATAAGAATCCAGACAGTGGAATGAATACAGAAGCTGTGTGATGGAAGACACGGGAAAACCCATGATGGAAGCGTAGGAGTAGGATTTCTTCCAACAGAAATGGGAGAAATACCTTAAACGTGCATTTACACGGTCCATAAAAAGTCCAAAGAAGGAAAAGGGCAAGCTCCTTGTGCTTTAATCCATATGGGAAGCCCAAGGCAGGAGCTGTGCTTCAGGTTGGCTTTTGTCATTTCCCTGTTGTTTCCTCATCACGTAAGAGGGGTGGCAGGCAGCTGGAGGCAGGCATTGGTGCCGCTCCCTGGGAAGCAATAGATGAAAGTGCAGCTTGTTGACTTCTCTAGCATTTGGGTACGAGATGCCAGGTGTTACGGAAGGAGAACCTGTTTGGTGGGGCTGATTTGAATCTTGATAAAAGGAGCAGCATACCAGTGTGTAGAAACAATCCATGAATGGATTAAAGCTTCCAATATTGCCTGCTGTCACTTGGGACTTTATCCGCACTCTTCACCTGCAATGTGGAGCTTCTGTTTGAGTTTTTGCTGGGTTTGATTCTGGCGGTAGCTTCATCAGCGCAGAACAACTGTACCTGTGCGACCAACAAGTGGACGGTATGTGCCCAGGATGCGTCTGGGAACTGCACCTGCACGCTGGTAGGTTCAAATCATGAGGTAGACTGTCCAACACTGACTTCAAAATGCTTGCTCATGAAGGCAGAAGTGATCCCCTGAAGGAGAAGCGCTTCCGGGGCCGTCCCCATGGGCTGTTAGATAATGATGGCATTTACAATCCAGACTGCGAGGACAGTGGTATCTTCAAAGCCAGGCAGTGCAATCAAACCGATACTTGCTGGTGTGTGAGCACTGCTCACACTGGTGTGTGAGCACACTGGTTAGAACAAGCTGGATATACATTGAACTGAAGCACAAAAAAAGGTCCAGTGCTTTCAGTGTTCCCGATGTAGCAAACGCCCTGAAACATCTGTTCGAGATCCGATACAAACTGCACCCCAAGTACATCGCAGCTGCTAAGTATGATTCCCCATTTATCCAAATCCACCTGAACCAGAATGACTTTGAGAAATCTAGGTGTGATGTAGATATAGCCGACGTAGCCTCTTACTTTGAAAAAAAGATGACACTGTATTTCATTACAACAGTACGTTTACTGTCTCTGTCAACAGAGGTGCTCTGGATATTGGAAAAAAAAATTAAGGATTTACTATGTTGATGAAAAGCCACCAGAGTTTTGCATGAGACAACTGGTTGCTGGCGTTAGCGCTGTGGTGACAGTGGTGATACTGACTGCTGGCCTTGGCATCGCTGTGCTCGTTATTCTGAGGTGGCTGTGGACAAGAAAATATGAGAAAGTTGAGGTTAAAGAAGTGGGTGAAATAAAAGCACCAAGCTTACAGGTGCCTTGATCTGAAAAAAAGAAAGGCATCTGAAAAAAGAAAGGCAACAACAGGAAGAAAAACAAACAAAAAAGAAGCACAAAATAGAAATAGCAAACAGAGTCAGTGTACGTGGATGAATTTGGAGAGGTTTTTTCCTTTTTAGAGCAATTTATACAGGGATTGTTATAAATTATTCTAGTTTAGTAAGAATGACTTTTTTGGGTATAAACTAATTTGGGAGTCTGTTACCTAAATATTTTAAATTAATCCCAATTTAGAGGCTAAGAGAACTGTTACAGCTGTCTATTTAGCGTAACGCAGAACGCTTTCACTGGTACTGCAGGCCTGGTTCAGCTTGCTTAACTACTCTGAGTGGTTCTTGCTATATCTACTTATGGAAATTAAATACTTGTCTTAGCGGAACTGAGTTATATAGCTGCTTTTCTGTTGGTAAAGACTTCCTTTAAAATGGGGGGGTTAAAGTTGCTGGAACTTTTTTTTAATCAACAAATAATTTAATAAATATTACTAAATAACCAAATAAGGTTTTAATAAGATAATCTTCAGTACTAGAGGTTTTTATATGGAGCCATTTGTTAGGAATCATTCCTGGGGTGGCTTTCCAGTGAGGAGATCCCAGGTTTCTGAGTTTGTATTCAGGCGGCACAGTGAGCTATTCCCACTTGTGCTCTTTAACAAGGGTCTGACACTCCTAGTCAGCAAAGCTCCCTTGATCCCAATGCAAGTGTAAGTTAACCTTGGTGTTCTGCCCAAATTCAAACTCTGGTAATAGCTTTCTGTCTACCTAAATTCCCCTTGCAATTTTAATGGGAGGAGATATTTTTCAGTGTTATACAGCTTCACAGAAATACTACACAATGCTTCAGGACAGCTGAAAAAGAGCTTTATTCCAGTAGAGCTGCAGGGGGAATTTAAGAGCAGAGTGTAATTACTGAAGTTGGAATTTGGCCAAGACGCTAGAACTGGACTTCTTTGCTACCTACTCATCTGCCACATTCCTTGTTTGGGAGGTCATATCCACCATGAAGGACATTTTAAAGAAAATAATGCTAGTTGTTGAAATGCTGGCAGTTATGTTGTCTGTACGGTGTATGGATGTCTGAAGTCCCATCAGTCTAATCTGCTTACGTTCCAAATGAGACCGCTACACATAGGCATGGCAGCAGGGTCAGCTCTTTTATTCTGGTAATTAGTTTCAACATTACTAGTTTGAAATTCTAATAACAGTCAGTAATGTGCTGCTTCTAGGACAAACTATTAAATATGCATCTCTGATTCTACTGAATGAAGAGGATACCAGGAAAAAAAGTAAAGCTGCTTTGATTCTGTTTCTGCCTTTGTTTATATAGAAGAGACTTGCTGTTTGGGGGGTGGGGGCGTTTGTTTGTTTAATATTTTTTGGCTCAACATACACCATTTCCATTTATCCTCATTCTTGTTCACTTACCTGCTGGAAAAATTGGGGCTTTGGATACACAGGATGGGGCAGATGCATCACGCTTCCCCAAAATAAGTTTTTTATGCAATTGCATCAGCAGTATTACGACACTCAAAAACTTCTGGAGCAGGGTCTATAGTTTATTCTGTGACTGACTTACAGCAAGACGTCCAAGCTGGTTGTTTTTCAGTCCAGTATACACATTAGTACTGATAGAAGATGAAGTGAGAATTTAATATCTAGGCTGAATTTTCCCAAGTCCCATAGGAAAATTCAGAACTTAGCCTAACTCCACATAATTTTGCAATTAGGCTTTTATAATATGGATTAAATTAAAAATGCGGAGCTGAGTAGCCCTCAGTGCTGAAGAAATGTAGGATCAGAATGAAAATTTTCCAAGTACCTTGCTTAACCACTTTCTTAATTTATGCAGAGCTGATAAAAGCTTTGTGTTTGGGCGGTTGGCGCTGTCCTTCCATCAGAGCAGATCATGAAATGTGCCATCTTTTCTGGGGATCTGCTGTGGCTTTCAACATTCTTTTAAAATCACTGTATTTTCCTCATTTCTGTCATAAGAAAAAAAAATATTTTCAAGGTGAATGATGAGATATTAAAATAGAATATAAACACGTAGGCATAATTTTGATTAGGAGAGGCAAAAGTGACTAATCGTTGAAAAAATCTGAAGACGTAACAGTTTCAGTATCTTTCTTTGGCTCCTGCTTTTCTTTTTAGAAACTGAGATTGAGAAGAGAAGCTGTTGTGGTGCCATTCATATTTTTATTAATCATTAAAGGACTGCCCCATGAAAATCACGTGTTGTGGTCAGTTATTTCCTTGCTAGTCATCAAGCACCAGTAGACTGCGTGCTGCTAGGGGACTGGAAATGCACTAGGGTCATTTCATGGGAGCGATAAGGTGTGTGTCTGCAATTAATCAAAAGAATGGGAAGATTAATTGCAGTGCAGAGCTCAGAGAACCTCTCTTTGGATTAGATCATTCTACTTGAATAAAGCTATGTAAAGCTACGGTAGGATCTGGACTTCATAAACCAAACATACCCACTGCTCCTGCTACGCACTCATTTCTCTCCTGCTGCTCCAGTCATACCACCTCCCGGGCTAGATATTAATATCTTTTTTGCACATGGTAGGTCAAGTATTTTACTGTAAAAGTCCATGATGTTCAGCTTGTTTGACTTTCTGTCCACTGCTGATGTGCTCACCGAAAAGGAGAAAATGCAGTCCCTGTCAGCTTTAAATTTTGCAAAATTAAAATGCTTTTTATTATTCATTCTAATTTAGAAGTTTCTAGTTATCCTTTTCCTGATTACATCATCCTGTTTTAATGGTGTGTTTCTTTGTTGTATTTAAGTAATTACGCTTTATACTCTCTGCAGTGGGATCCGTGAGTACAGCCAGCATGGTGATAGCGATGGTGGCGTTATGTTCTAGGCGGCACTGGCTGACAGCTTTCAAGCAGTGCCCTGAACAACGTGATTAACATCAATCCGGTATCAGTTTCTGTGGGGTCTGCTCAGGCATAAATGTATTCAGGGGATTGTTTTGTTTTGGAATGTTGTTTTAATACTCTGTATGTAGAAATACGTACATATTTATGCACCTGTCTGTGGGTAGATACAGAAATAAACCCATAGCTGATATGAAAGAGTGCCTTTGTGCTATTACCTACCTGGATTATGTAACAGCAGGTATGCTTGCTTTAATGAAGGTAGAGCTGTCTGTTGCCTAAATTATGTTCTGCAACTCCAAGTGGCAAAGGGCTGCCTTAGAAAGTTCAAAATAACCACTGGCAGAGAAAAAAATTCCTGTCTCTGTGCAATGGCTCTGAAGAGGATAGTGCTGCCCTTTCCGTACAGTGCTACTACCTTTGTGCAACTGCATAAAGCGGGTTTGGGCCTTCGCTTTTAACTTTTAGTTAAAACTTTTTTAACCACTCAAGATCTGAGGGAAGTGCCAGAAGCAATGCCAGCACTACAGCAAGGAAATGAAAGATAAGGATTCATGGAAGGATTAAAACCCTCTTAAACTCTGTACCCTCTATTCCCCCTGGTAAAATCCATGTCTGCTTATAGATGCAAGTATATATTCTCCAACACATTGACACAAAATCCCTGCATTAGTTCTGGTGTGTGTACACACATGTCCGTTCCCACACCTGTACTTACAGACACACACATCACTATTTATGTTAGAGCAGGCAAGCCCCAGGGAAAGCTTTGTGGCAGCAGATCCTACGCTGCACTCAGCCAGCCTGCAGCCTGCTATAGCTCTTATCAGTGGTAAAATAGCCCAAACCTGCTGCTGTTCTGGAACCACAAAGAGAATCCTCTTCTTGTCCCATCTTCCCCCGATTAAGAATAATCTCTTTATGGCTATTTAGACTGGGATTATGGCCGGATTAGGTTAAGGATGTGAAACAAAATGCCTGCTGCATAAATGCACCCCACCCCTCTCTTCTTTAGATGGTAAAACACCAGCATGCCGGTGATGTTAAGCACTTAATGACAACTAGATACAAGATCCCCCCAATAGTCCTTAAAATGTTTAAATCTTGGGGAATCACCTTAGAAAAAACAAACCACTTTTTCAGAAAATAGTTAAAGAAGTAACAAATTGGCCTGTCCTCCACTTCTCCTTAATTGGACCAATTAATGCTATTAAACAGATAGTCTTCCTCGTGCAGGTATAATTATCCTTTTTCCAAAGCGTTTCCACTGAGTTGCCTCAGGGCAATTACCTCTTTTTTTAATACTAAGATTAATCTTGAGTCATTACAATTGCTATCAGAGCAGGAAAAATCAACTTCCAGAACTTTTACAATTATTATTCAGCAGTTCTGACAAGATCCCTTGTACCAGGATTTATCTAGTTAAAATTTCATACACGCCAGGCAGCCTGACAAGATTCACATCTCATTTTCATGAGGATCCCTATTTGCCGAGGAATAACACTGTTACGGTCCTACTCCAGCACAAATCAAGTGCCACAGAAACAGTTAGGGAGACTTTGTATTATCTAAATGAAAGACTGAATGAGAACGCATTTCTAATTTTCCACTGAGATTTTTACATGTGGGCCCAACAGTACTGGTGGCATATGCACCCAACCTTTTTCAGCTAAGTTGTATTTGAAATGTCTGTCCTTGCAAGGCTTGAAATGAGAAATCGCAGCATTTTTTCTCTTCTGGTTGCACCCAGGAAAGCTAAGTGGAACAACTAGAATGTAATTGGATGTGGCTATGCTGTAGCCACTGCACTGTGCAGTGTGGACACACTCATTTTTAGCACAGGTCTGTTGAATTCTCCTTTTTTCTTCCTATCTTCATGTCCTCTTTTCTGTTGTTAGAAATAAGATGGCTTTCTAACTGTCTCAATTCTGCTGAAGGACTTAAGCAAAATCTCTCAAGTATAGAAAGTTAATGAATGCTCCCCTTTTTCAGTCTCTCCAAATAAATTTTGCATTTTAGAGAGCTAGTAGAAGTCGTCTGTGATATTTACTATTTTCACAGATGTTTTTATGCAGGTCAGCTGCTTTAAAAGCAGTTT